CAGTCTGCAGCCGACGCTCTCTATCCACTGAGCCAAACCGGTTTCGGTGGCCCTGGCTGCTTTTATTGACAGCTATGGTGGCCATCAAGCTGCAGGGCTTGAGTGGGCTCCTGTCATGTGGAGATATGCCCATCAGGGCACCTCTTGGCATAAGCAGGAGCGCATGTGGCCAGGTGACTGCATCTCTCAGCCTGGCCCCCGCCCGCAGCGCCCCCACTGACCCAGGCCCCACGGAGAGGAGGAGGCAAGCTTGTTCCCAGAATGGGTTCTGTCCCCCTGCAGAAGACCCTGTAGCATGAATCAGGTTTCATTCCCCAGGCATTTTCAGGTCCAGCAGAGCCTGCCTAGCACTGAGCTCACGAGTTCTCATGTCCTCAGAGTCTTGGGTCCTGGGTCCTGGGAAAGCTGCTGGTGGCCCTGGCAGGGGGCGCTGTCCCAGTAACCGCTGTCCGGTCACCTGGGCCAAGCCACGGAGTCCTAAGTGAAAGTCTTTTTTTTTAAAAAAATATATTTTTTATTGATATTTTACAGAGAGGAAGAGAGAGGAATAGAGAATTAGAAACATCAATGAGAGAGAATCGCCGATCAGCTGCCTCTTGCACACCCACTACTGGGGACGTGCCCGCAACCAAGGTACATGCCCTTGACCGGAATCAGTCCGCAGGCCGACGCTCTATCCGCTGAGCCAAACCGGTTTCGGCCTAAGTCTTGACCACAATCTGAGCCTTTGAGCAGAAAAGTGCACACAACAGACTTCCAAGGCTGGCGGGCCCCTCGGGCGCTACAAGGCTGCGGGCGGGCAGTGGGGGCGGGCGGCGGGGGACGTGACCCCTCCTTTGTCCTTCCAGGCAGTTGCCAGACCCGGCCATCGAGGACCAGGGCAGGGAGTACGTGCAGCCCATTCTGAGCAAGTACGCAGCTGTGTGCGTGCGCTGCCCAGGCTACGGCACCAGGTACGGCGGGCTGCTGGGCGCGTCTGGTCCTGTCTCACCAGGAGCCTGGCCTTACCAGAGCTCTGTGGACCCCAGAGCCTCTGCCTGATCTAGAAGTGGGTGCCATTTCAGCTCGGGGGGGGGGGGGGCTGTGGGGTGAGCAGATGCCAGCTCCCAGGGGTGCTGAAGACCTGGCTGATGGCCCCTGAGGCTGCCATTGGTTCCCAAGAGGGGGTCCTGGGCTGCCCCCGTACCCTCTTCCACAGCCACAAGGGGGCCTAGATGGCATTGGGCAAATCCCTGTCAGCCTGCGGGTCCTATTGTCTGGCTCTCCCCTTCACTTGCCTGTGTCCCTGGGCCTTGTATGTTCTTTGCGTGACCAGGGTCGGGATTCGGTCACCTCAGCCTGGGATGCTGCCGTATCCCAGGAAAGGTGAAAAGATCTCGGCCTCAAGATGATAATGTCCAGGAGGGAGAAGCTGTTGGCATGGGCATCTGAATTCCTTTTTTTTTTTTTTTTTTTCTTTCTTTAATATATTTTATTGATTTTTTACAGAGAGGAAGGGAGGGGGATAGAAAGTTAGAAACAGCCGAAACCGGTTTGGCTCAATGGATAGAGCATCGGCTTGGGGACTGAAAGGTCCCGGGTTCGATTCCGGTCAAGGGCATGGACCTTGGTTGCGGGCACATCCCCAGTAGGGGCTGTGCAAGAGACAGCTGATCGATGATTCTCTCTCATCGATGTTTCTAACTTTCTTTTTCTTTTTCTTTTTCTTTTTCTTTTTCTTTTTTTAAATATATTTTATTGATTTTGTACAGAGAGGAAGGGAGAGAGATAGAGAGTTAGAAACATCGATGAGAGAGAGTCATCGATCAGCTGCCTCTTGCACACCCCCTACTGGGGATATGCCCGCAACCAAGGTACATGCCCTTGACCGGAATTGAACCTCGGACCTTTCAGTCTGCAGGCCGACGCTCTATCCACTGAGCCACACTGGTTTCAGCTGAATTCTTTTATTGTCTTCCTCCCTCCTGGGTGTGAGGCTGGGAGTCCTGGCCTGCCCACGTGGCTCCATCATCAGAGGGCAGCCCACGTGCTGTACTTAGAGATGGCTGGCATGCACAGGGGCGGGGAGGTTGGGGTCCAGCCGGATGCGTTAGGAGTGCTGCTGTCACGTGCCTGGCCCCTCGGCCTGCAGATGGAGCACATCCTCCTGTGCGAGCCACATCTACCGAGGCTCAGCTGGCATCAGGCCCCAGGGGCACCCGCCTTGTGCCAGGCCGGGGACCTGCAGTGACTGTGGTGGATGGGCCGTGCCCTTTGGTGCCCCATGGCTACCAAGGACTCAGGGAAGAGGCGTTCAGGCCGCGACCAGTACTACTGACTGATGTCAGGGTGATGTCCCACATACGCCTGGTTTTGGGATTCAGGTTTGAGATTGAGTGAGCCGAGCCCCTGCTTTCCCCGCAGGCGGGAGGGGTTGGCTTATTGCTGCCTCCCCAGGAGGATGGATGTGTGCCAACCTTGCTACGGTAACATGGCTGAGGCTCGGCTGGTGCTGAGGGCGTCAGACAGGGAAATGGGCATGTGAAGTTCTGGTGACCCACTTGCCGAGAGAGTGGCAGGCCCCTCTGAGTCTCTGTCCTCCAGGAAATGACCGTTCCAAGCCCTCTAGCTGGGGGGGGGGGAGGGCAGTAGATGGTGTGAATGCCTGGCCCTTAAGCTCCCAGGGCCCAGGAGGGTTGCACACCTGAATGGCAGTCTTTCTGGCTGGGTGGCTTTTTCCTTGGGCAGGGGCATATTTCCCTCAAGCCCTCCTCCATCCTAAGCTTATTATTATTATTTATTATTATTATTATTTACTAAACCATGTGCTCATGTGTACTTAGTATGTGAGGCAGAATGCCAGGCCTACTCCCTGTCTGTTTGCATGGCTGCTGGGTCCCACCTTGACTGTGGGGAGGGCCGGGCAGGAGGAGAGGCGCGTTGAGCATTTGGAGCAGGGCGGTGGGGGAGGCGAGGGAGGGCACAGAGGAGTTTTCTAGGTGAACAGGCCTGGTCCCCAAATGGTTGACAGGTTGACCGCTTGGAAGAGCTGAGTGTGGCCGAATGCCCAGAGATGTGCTGGTCCATTTTACCAGAGAGCCCAGGGCCCAGCCTGGTGAGAGTGGTGGATGGATGGTTGGAACTTGTACCACAGAGGGTGGGCAGGGAAGGCTGGGGGTGTGTCAGCGTGGAGGCAGCAGGAGTCATCAAGCTTCGTCCTGGGGGCTCAGCCAGGGAGCTCCAGGCCCCACCAGGCTCAGTGCCCAGCCACCCCAGGGGGTCACTCTACTTCCCAAGGCTGCTGCTCATTGGTGACCTGCCTCTAGCCGTGCTGAGTGCCCAGCACAGACCCCAGGCGTGGTGGACTTGCCCCTTCTGCCTCAGAGCTGACCCCAGTTGGGGCTCTGACAGGTGGGCAGGGGCTGAGGGCAGCGGGCTGAACGTGGGCCCTGTGCTCTCTTTCAGAACCAACACGGTCATCCTCGTGGACGCGGATGGGCACGTGACCTTCACAGAGCGCAGCATGCTAGACAAAGACCCTTCCCGCTGGGAGACCAGGACCCATGAGTTTAGGCTGCAGAGCTAAGACCGACCCCTGAGTGCAGCCAGCGGGCTCCTGTAAGGCCCTGCCTTGAGGACCGGATGGGAACCTTCCACAGCACATGCACTGCCTGTGTGTGACGTGGCCAGCATCCCTCAGGACCAGGGCCCTCTGATTTGTGCGTGACCTGTCTGCGTCCCTGTATCCAGCTCGAAGTCCATCCTTACGCCAGAGGGAGTGGCAAGAGTCCCACAGCCAGGTCAGGGGCAGACCCAGGTGTGCTGTGCATGCGTGAATGCACCTGGCCCTGCCCCCTCCCCACACATAGAGACACCCACGCAAGGCACGTGCTTACATACATGCCTACAGGTGTACAGGCACACGTGTACACCCAGGGGGCGCGCACACACACACACACACACACACACACACACACACACACCACGCTCCCAGGCATACACACACACACACACACACGTGCTTGTGCCAGACGACAGGCAGAGGCGTGCCTCTCTCACCCACACTCACTTATGGCCAGTGGGTCTTTGGCTTTGATCAAAACAAGAGTAGTAGACCTTTGTCTAGAAGGGTCCCCTTCTCTCCTGGACATGGTCCAGTTCCCAACAACCAGACCTGCTCTTGGAGGACAAACAGGCATTTTCAGGGCCAGCAGAGCCTTCTTAGCACTGAACTCACAAGTGCTCATGTCCTTGGAGTCTTCAGTCCTGGCTCCTGGGTCCTGGGTCCTGGGTAAGAACCAAGGAAAACCTCCTCTCATAACAGAAGCACAGTCTGGTTGGTGGATCCAGTGGCCCCGTGTGCATGGGACTGTCCTGTGACTGGAGTCCTGTATGTGCTGGGCACCCAGCAGCCTCTCAGGCCCTGCCTGCCCACTGGTCATGGGTTCTGGGCGGGCCCATCTCAGTGAGGGGACACAGCCAGCTCCGGCCCATCCCTCCTCCTTAGGCAAATCAAACTTCACAGGAACCTGTACTTGATTGTGAGATGTTGACAATAAAACTCTGAGGCTCTGGTGAGTTCATGCATTCCGTGTGCTTAACTTGTGTGATGGGGACAAATGGAGCCGTTTTATGCGAGGGAGTGGTGGCTGCTCTCTAGCCTGCAGGCACTTCGGCGGCATAGATGCTAGTACAGGGCTCTTCCCACTTTCTCCTTTGCTCACGGTGAGGAGAGCACTGTGCAGGTCCTTTGGCTGATGCCGGGGTGTGAAAGGGCCTGTGTATATGGGATATAGTAGGTGCCAGTGACAGGGCCTCCTGAGCTAGGCCGAGGCGGCAGAGATTTATCCAGATTCAGTGGGGAGCCCCTGGGAACCCCCTGAGGGAGCAGTGTGATCAGACCTGCACTTGGTGGTGACTGTGGAGTGGGTTTCAAGGTAAGAGGGGAGCGGAGTCTGTCTCAGCCCCAGGACCAGGGTTTTGGGCAAGCACTCAGAAGTTCCTATCCCCATCTGGGGCCAAGCACAAGGGGGTCCCACATGTCCAATGTCAGGCTTCCCCCTGCCTCCATAGCCGACCCCAAACTTGGCCTTCGCAGAGAAATGAGAGCTTATGGGGGTGATCAGGCCCGACTGTGCTGCTCATCCCTTTCTCCTCAGCCCTCAGGGGTCTGAACGCCCTCCTTGGCTCACTGGGAACTGAGAAGACAAGTGCTTGAGCAGAGCCAGGCTCTGAGGGGGCTTGCGTAGGTGACACAGCCCATGTCCCCAGGCCCAAGAGGAAACTGGACCCAAGTCCCTGCAGTGTCTGGCTGAGCCAGATGAGCCAGGCTTCCGGCTCAGGCACTGCTAGTGCCGACACCCTCTATCTGCCTCAGCAGGCTGCCCCACAGCGGGGGCCAGTGCCCACACCAGCCAGGCATGCTCACCCTCGTGGGGCACCACCGGGCTGGGTGCAGAACCAGTGAAGAGCCTCCAAAGGTATTCACCTCTGTCCCCAGGGGTGGGCATCAAGGGAATGCTTTCCCACCTGTGTCATGGACTCCTTGGTGTCTAGCCTGTCCAGAGCTGCCCAAGAGCCTGGGTCCCCGGAGGAAGAGGCAGCTAAAGGTGTAATTCTGTGATTGTTAGGGGTTGATTTTTAAAAATATATAGTTTATTGATTTTTTACAGAGAGGAAAGGAGAAGGATAGAGAGCTAGAAACATTGATGAGAGAGAAACATTGACCAGCTGCCTCTTGCACGCCACCTACTGGGGATGTGCCTGCAACCAATGTACATCCCCTTGACCGGAATCAAACCGTGGACCCTTCAGTCTGCAGACCGATGCTCTATCCATTGAGCCAAACCGGTTTTGGCAGGGGTTGAATTTTGTGCCCCCAAAAGATATGCTGTAAGCCTGATCCCAGGACCTCAGAATGGGACCGTATTAGAGGTAATCAAGATAAAGTGAGGCCATGAAGGTGGCCCTAAGCAAGTATGACTGATGTCCTTATTAAAAAAAAAAAAAGGGGAAATTTGGACATGCACCCAGGAGAATGCCCTATGAAGACAATGACTATGCTGCCACACACCAAGAAATTGCCAGAAGCTAGGAGAAAGGCCTGGAACAGACCCTTTCCTGGCACTATTAGAGGGCATGTAGCCCCTGCTGTCATCCTGATCTTAGACTTCAGGCCTTCAGTACCATGAGAGTATACATTTCTACTGTTGAAGCCACTCGTTTGTGGTGCTTTGTCATGGCAGTCCTAGCAAAATAATATAATTGTGACCTTCACTTGACAGATGAGACAACCAAGGCTTAGATATGACAGTCCCTCAGTCCCCAGAGCAAATGGGAGGCGGAGCCATGAGGCTAGGAAACAGCATAAAGAGAACAAGGTGTGTGCCTGCCCCTGTAGACCCACAGTGTCCTCCCACACTGGTCCCAACCCGCTGCTGGCACCCCTCCCACCTTCACCTCACGGAAGCCCCTGCCACTGCTATTGGCTCATTCCCTGCACAGCTCTTGCCCCAGGGCCTTTGCATTCACTGCCTCCTCTACCTAAATAATTCCTCTTCCAAATATCCCAACTGCACTCTCCATCCCCGTCTGCAGACCTTTGCTAACGTGTTTTTTTTTGGAGGGGCATCCCATCTAAATTGGCCATTTTCTCTGCCTTGTTCCCTGCTCTGTCTTTCTCTGTATCAGCAAGCCCGGTCTGACATACTATGTGTTTCGATGGTTTATGTGTTTCCCTGTCAGCAGAGCTCCAGGAAGTTGGGACCTTTCCTCTCTTGCCTACTGCTATGTCCCAATGCCTCAAATCCAGGATATGGTGCTGATGTTGCACAAGCCTCCATTTATTGAGTGCCTTTTAGTGAGGCCCCTGGACTGTTAGAGGGTGCAAGGACCATAGGAATCTGATGCCCTCTAGAAGCACTTTTGGCATGCCATCCAGGAAGTCCTGGGCCTGATGTTGGCATGGCTAGGCCAGTCCTCTCTTCTTGCCACCAGAGATGCCTTTGGCCCCTGAGTTCCCCAACAGGGGTCTTCTTCTCCTGGGCGAAGGGGGAATTCATCCCTTTCTCAGATGCCCTTTTTTCCCAGATGAGCTTCTCCTACTCATCTGGCTCCAAGACAGCCACATGGAGGCTAGAGGTGTGGAGCTGACTGATGCAGAGGCAAGTCTATGAACAAGCATGGCCAACTCAGGAATGCAGCCTGACCTTCTGTGTTGTCCTGGTAGGTTTGCAGAGACTGCCCATGACACCCCCTGTCCCCCCCACCCACTCCCGTTTTTAAAAAAAAATATATTTTATTGACTTTTTACAGAGAGGGAGGATAGTTAGAAACATCAATGAGAGAGAAACATCGATCAGCTTCTTCCTGCACACCCTTTACTGGGGATGTGCCCATAACCAAGGTACATGCCATTTATCGGAATTGAACCTAGGACCTTTCAGTCCACAGGCCGATGCTCTATCCACTGAGTCAAACCTGTTAGGGCTAATTCAATGCCAACAGGAATTCCCAATTTGGGGTGTGAGGATAAGGAAACTTGATTCAGTGCAAAACAGCTAAATTGTGATACAGTGTGGTTGGGAAAACAGTTAGAGGGATAGTTAGAAACATCCAAGAGAGAGAAACATCCATCAGCTGCCTCCTGTACGCCCCCCTACTGGGGATCCAGCCTGTAACCAAGGTACATGCACTCCACCAGAATCAAACCCCGACCTTTCAGTCCCTGGCCCGACACTCTATCCACTGAGCCAAATCAGTCAAGACTTGCCCACTTTTTTTTTTTTTTTTTAGCATCCATGAATTTTGTCTGAAGCAGTTAAAGTGCTGTCTGCCAAGTGGGATACTTTGTATTTCCATCATTCCTTCTACAAGTATTTACTGGAACTCTGGTCTGACTAAGGAAGCACAGTCCTTTCATTTCCCATAATGTATCCTCCCTTTCTTGAGGCTCCTGATACAGTATCGGCAAATGGAAAACTGCCAGACAATTGAGGATACTTTGTCCTTTTATCCCTAATGGTTACATTTAATGATTTTAACTGGAAAATTTCTGTGTGGACACTCTGCCTAGACTGGAGACAGACGGAGCCCTGCCTGAGACCATCCAAGCGCCCTCAACTCCCGGCGTCCCCGAGCTCCGGAATTCCCGGCATCCCCCTAACCCGCCCCAAGCCCCCATTCCCGGCGTTCCCCGCGCTGCTCTTTAGTTCCCGGCGTTCCCCGCGCGCCCCGTTCCCGGCGCTCCTCGCGGCGCTCGCCCTCCGAGCGGCAAGCCCCGCCCGGGCTGCGACGGTTAGCGCGGCCGCGGCCTCAGGTTCTGATCCCGCCCACGCAGCTGCGCTATTGGGCTGCACGCCGAGGCCTCGAGAGCCCTACGCCGCCGATTGGCTGCCTCCGCAGCCCGCTCCGCGGATTCCCCAATGCGGGGCGGCCGCGCCCGAGGATTGGCCGTGCACCGCCAAGGCCCGCCCTCCGCTCGCCCGCGCGGCAGGCGGGTCCCGCCGACCCGGGAGAGCCTGGGTGGCCTTTCTGGTTGGCGGCGGCGGCGGCGGCCGGGCCGTGAGGGTCTCCCTATTGTGGTCG